TTTGTAAGTGTATTCCTCCCCAAACAGTTGCTTTCTGTTAGTTTAAAAAATTCTTTTCTCTTAAAGTTTTTAAAGTGTTCCAGAAATTTGCGATCCACATATCCAGCTGCTTACAAATCATCTGCATGTGTACCTGTCAAAGGCACTCATATTTGACCTTCCTAAAGCCAAAGTATTTAGCTGTCATTCCCAATGTCCTCCTGACCATCACCACCAAAAAATCAGTCAGAAACCATCCAAACCCAGTACTCTCTCTGGTAACAGCACCTTCATTCAGACATCAGCGAGAAACCTAAGGTTCTTTTATACTCTGCTCCTTTACCACCCATGTTTAATCTATCATTAGGTTCTAGCAATTTTACTCCTAAATATCTTTTGAATCTATTCAGTTCTATCCCCACCTCCACTATTACCGAATTATCCAAAATTACAGATAGCCGTCATTCATGAGATTTACGACAGCGCTTTTTTAACTGGTCTCTCCACTTAGACTTTTCCTACCCTCTAATACATTTACCACTCTACACTCAAAGTGATCTTTTCAAAATCAAATCTGATTGTGTTACCCCTTCAAGGCCTCGCCATTTCTCCTGTGGCACAGGTCGAAGTTTGGGTTTTTTTTTTCTTTTTTTTGGTGGCTGGCTGGTACCGGCATCAAACCCTGGACCTTGGTAATTGTCAGTACCATACTGTAACCAACTGAGCTAACCAGCCTGCCCTAATATAATCTAATATAATCTCTATGGCCATTGCCTTTTTAATTGTCTTTTAATTGTACCAATTCAATTTCATCCTGAATGTAAAAGTACCAAACACTAAAGATGTATTTCACATAAAATGAAAGATTCCTTATATTAATCCCCATATTACTTATTTTGTCAGTGGAAAACATTCTTAACGGTTTACAGTACAGTCATGCACCATATGCTGTATGTTTTGGTCAACAACAGAACGCATATATGATACTGGTCCCATAAAATTATAGTGGATTATACCATATAGCCTACGTGAGTAATAGGCTATGCCATCTAGGTTTGTGTAAGTATGCTCTGATGTTTACAAGGAGAAAATCACCTAACGATGCATTTCTCAGAATTTATCCCCACTGATAAATAATCCATGACTGTATATTTTTCTACATCTTTCTGTGATAGTACATATTATCTACCTATTTGTTTTAATGGTTGTTTAATATTCCATGGTATAGATGTAACATAATTTTATTAAACATTTCCACTTGTGATAACTATTGAAGTTGTTTCCAACTTTTTTGATATTATAAACAATTCTCTAAAGCTGGTATTTACAAATTTCAGTATTAATGTAAGTTTTCTGCAGAATGGATACCACATATAAAATTTCTGGACCTAAGAACATGCACATTTAAATTTTTATGTGTACAGTGTTATGCTATCACCCTTTACAAAAAATATGTTCNACTGATGAATAGCATAAATAGAGATAGGTTCTACAAGCCATAACTATCACAAAATGAACACGGTCATGTAACCACCACTCATATCAAAAGAGAAAAAATTCCTGGTCACCAAGAAGCCCTAGTGCCTCCTACCTCCCTTTCTCCTCAACAAAGTTAGATTAACTTCTAACCATAGAGATTAGCAAGGCCGGTTTTACCAATTTATAAAAATGGAATCATACAGTATATATTCTTTTGAGCCTGGCATCTTTGGCTCAACATTTTTTCAGGTGATCACTTTAGGCTCATACAAAAAGTTCATACATTTTCATTACTTTGTATGGAAATTTCTTTGTATGTGTGTCACTATAGTTTTAATTTGCATTCTCCTGATATAAATTAGATTGATCTCCTTGTATATGTTTTTTGGCCATTTCGATATGCACTTTTGTGAAGTGCCTGCTAAAGTTTCTTGCCTGTTTTCTGTTAGGTCTTTCCTTTCCTTGTTGATTTATAGAAGCTGTTTAAATATTCTTTATATGAACTCTTTATTCATTATATATTTTACTTGTCTTTTCTTATTTTTTGCTTCCCTTTTTTCTTTAATGGTTTCTTTTGATAAACAGTTATTTTTAATTTTAATGTAGTCCATTTTCTCAACCTTATAAGATACGACTAATGCTCTTAATCTTTAACGATCACCATGGTAATGAAATTAACTTTCTATATTATCTTCTAGAAATTGTGTTATTTCATTTTTAACATTGAGATCTACTACGTATCTGTAATTAACTTTTGTGCATGGTATGAAATGGAAGTCAACTTTTTCCCCATATGTATAGTCAGTCGACTTGTCCAATTATTGAAAACATTCAACTTTTCATACTAATTTACAGTGGCACCTTTGTTATAACTTAAGTATCTATACATTCATAGGTCAACTTCTCAATTCTCTTCTGCTGCTTTGATCTCTTTGTCTGTTTTTGTGTCAATACTGGCAATGTTGAACTTTGCCTGAGTTCTGTAGTCCTGGAAAACAGGGACAGTTAAAGAAATCCCACACGCTTCTTGTTCTGGGAAACTGCTTGCTGCAAAGAACCACGTTTACCCCTATGCCTTAGATAATACCCATATATATCCCTCCTGCCCCGGCCAATTTGACTTGACAGCACCATTTGCCACACCTAAATTCACCTGGTAATTGAGGTGTCTTATTTGTGTTAGTTAATTGTCTTTATACAAAGAAAAAATTAAACTTCTTATATCTCTGTGTCAAGCGGTAGCACAGCTTGGAGCCAGGTACCTCTGCTAAACTCCCACAGAGACTGGGAGATAGATAGGGATGCTATCTTTCTTGATGTTTACATTTAAAAGATACAGCTTAAGGAAAACTTAAGAAAAACTCTCCTGGTTTGTAAACCTGTCAAGAGGTTTGTTTAGTTTTTGAAAAGATTTACACACGTCAAAAGAACAGAGAAAGAATTTATAGTTACAAGTTTTCTAAAAGAAATGTTCTAGAAAAGGGAGGTGGGGGAAGTTTCTTTTTCAGCCCCAAGGAAAATCAGTTCTTTTAGATCTGTACTTACCCTTGCAATGTCTCCCTTTTGTAGTAACAAAGGCTGGACAGAAACAGGAACAGTTAAAGAAATCCCACACGCTTCTTGTTCTGGGAAACTGCTTGCTGCAAAGAACCACGTTTACCCCTATGCCTTAGATAATACCCATATATATCCCTCCTGCCCCGGCCAATTTGACTTGACAGCACCATTTGCCACACCTAAATTCACCTGGTAATTGAGGTGTCTTATTTGTGTTAGTTAATTGTCTTTATACAAAGAAAAAATTAAACTTCTTATATCTCTGTGTCAAGCGGTAGCACAGCTTGGAGCCAGGTACCTCTGCTAAACTCCCACAGAGACTGGGAGATAGATAAGGATGCTATCTTTCTTGATGTTTACATTTAAAAGATACAGCTTAAGGAAAACTTAAGAAAAACTCTCCTGGTTTGTAAACCTGTCAAGAGGTTTGTTTAGTTTTTGAAAAGATTTACACACGTCAAAGGAACAGAGAAAGAATTTATAGTTACAAGTTTTCTGAAAGAAATGTTCTACAAAAGGGAGGTGGGGGAAGTTTCTTTTTAAGCCCCAAGGAAAATCAGTTCTTTTAGATCTGTACTTACCCTTGCAATGTCTCCCTTTTATAGTAACAAAGGCTGGACACAGGCCCTCCAAATTTGCATTCTGGTCGAATTGTTTATCTTCATTGATCTGTCAGAGCAAAGTACTTATTGGCTGACTTGACCAAACCTTCATTAAGCTTCTCTCTTCCCTGCAGGAACCTCAACTTTGACCCACCCTTAACCTGAGCCCACACTGGCATGTAGAACACCTCCTCCTTAACACAGAGAAAGACACTCCCTGAGTCTTGCTTACTTCTCCTTATGAAAGAAAAGCCTGTTTTCTGCCTGACCTTTCAGATGTTTGCAGATCCCCTGGTCAGAACCCTCTTCCTATTTCAATAATCCTCTCCCTCTCTTGCAATAATCTTTTGAATAAAGTCTTTCCTCCTCTATGTCCAGATTTTTTATTTGACAGTACCATGCCTTGCTTATTGCCATAGCTTTATAATACATCTTAATATCTGGTAGAGTAAATATCTTCACTTTGTCAACAACCCAAGTCAGAGTGAATCTTATTTTGGTGAATCTTCCCCAAGAAAATAACCCAAAATATGCAAAATAGTTCATATTTATCACATTATTTATAAGAATTAAAACTACCTTTTATAAATTATGATTTATTTACCAAGATGGAATATTAAGCTGCCCTTAAAATGAATAAAGGTAATGATGATTTAAGGATAACAACCATTCCAGCCAACAATTCTTGAATGATGCAATGTAAAAGAAGAGGTGTGGGTGATATATCTAAAACAGTGCTAAAAAGACCAAATTCAGTAATCAGAAATGTAGAAATTCTGAAAAGTTGCTGGAAGGCAAAAAAGCAGATGAGATTTAATTGACAGAAATACAGGAGCAGAGGACACCAAAGCCCAAATAATATGCAAGAGAAAACTGATGTAAAGGTAAAGGTTATTGCAAAATGATTGTTTATGTATGATAATCTTGAGTGAATAAATTCAACTCGAGATATCAGATAAAGGCCCTGTATAAACCATGAGAGTAATTAATTGAAGAAATATTCAAGACAATTTGTCTGAGTATCTGTTCTACTCCATATTCCCCTAGCTGAATTGTGGATAGTGATATTAGATTCCAACTTGAAGCCCTGATTATACTAGGAATTCTGCCATTAAGGACTCCCAGATCTTGCAACAGTAAAAGCAAAATAAATTATGATCCGTCCATTCCCACCCCCCACCAAAAGAAAGGGAAACTCTCAGAACCAAACTTCACACAATCCCACTCCATATGTCCTCTTGCAAACAAGAAAGGAAAGGTTCCTTCCGTAATCAGAGTCCATATCTACATTTACGCAAAGTGGTCTGTTACATTGTGGTTTAAAAAATGTGTAAAACATAAAATTCTGAAATGTGATAGTGTCTTTTTGTACTTATATTATAGGTATACTATATTCTCTCAAGATGTCCTTTTGGCATAGAAGATGGGAAGAAAAGGTTTGGTATTGAAAGACTGCTAACTTCTAACACTTATTTATCTGCCTATCCACTCCATGATGTAAGTATAGTTTTGATTTTGAAATACTGAATTCATTTTCCTTCTCCTACGTTCAGAGGTGGCCTTGTTGGGAGAGAGAATCTTCCATTTGCTTTTTTGTTTTTTTATTAAAAGTTGCTTAATTCTCTCTCAGGATAGGAAAATCCCTAATGACTCCCTAGTTCCAAGCTGAGAACTTTGCCAGATAATGCTAAAAAGCATAGTGAATGCCTTTTGACATTATGGTTTCAAATGAGAATTTATTTAAAAATTAGTACATTTGCACATGAATTTTCTTTCGAACCCATTTTGAAAACAGTAGTCACAGTAAAAGAACATTTTAGGAGATAATATTTGGAAATTTCTATATGAACTCATCAGATCTTTTCTCATATATAATATTTTGAAGCT